ATTGTATGTTTAAGATATTATATTATTTTCAATAAATTTAAAATGTATTTAATTATGTATATAAATACTTATCTACAATAATTTTTAATCCTAGAAAGGTATCTATTTAATTTAGTTGATTGTTAATAATTTTCAATACAAATATGTAACATGTTTTACCTATGGGCTATATACTTAATAAATACCTATATGATAAAAGACAGAATTTAAATCAAATAGTAATTTGGAGACTTTTTTTTCCGTGAGACTTTTTTACCGGGGACTATATTCCGGGGACTTTTTTTCTTACATATAGACCTATAGGCTATAAACTAATGGATTGCGCCTCCCTCACCACCCAACCATCACTGAGTAAAGCCAATATAGAGTGAGTAAGAAGGAACATAGTGGGGGAATCTTGATGGAATCATATAAGAGAAAGAGAGAAAAAACATAATGTGGGAAATCATAGACTTACGAAACTAATACTGTATATTGGACCTCTTATCTCTCTCTCTAAGCGTTGTCCATTAGTTTATAGGTCTATGGATAAACATGGTAATGTTGTTCGCTTTTCTTTTTCAGAATGCTACAATTGCAGAAAAACTGGCCACCTGGCCCTCCATTGTAAGTGTATTTTGTGTATATTATATATGTGATCGTAGGCAATGCATCTAAAATATTATTTATTATGCAGGCAGGAGACCAAAAGTGCAGAGGGACCGGTCCCCCCCCCCCGCCGGCGAAATCGGTCCCCCCTCGGCGGCGATACGGGGCCTCACAGCGGCTGCGGGACTCGGCCCCCCCGTCGTTGGGGAATGGTGCCCGGCAAGCTTCGCACCAGCACTCAGGCCATGACCGTGGATCGAGTGCTCTTTCATCTATGGGCCTATATGATTAAAAATGCAATAAAATTGCTATAATAAACAAAATGTGAATATATTTTCAAAATTCGAAAGGTTTTTCGGAATTTTGGTCTGGCGGCGGAACGGTGGCGGCGAACTGGTGGCTTCGAAATGTCGGCGATATTTGTCACATACTTTACAAAACAAGTAATAAGTACATCTAATTTCCAGTTGAATTTCCAGTTTTATCAACACAAATTAATCCCTCTTTTATGACACTTCATTTGTACAATACACTTATAAATACACATAAAAACAAATTGTTCGAGCTTTGACACATCAGTTGTTGAATGTAATATAGGTAAGTGAATACAGTTCAGCCTATTGCACATTATACAGTAATAACAATATTATTATAATACAATTTAAGTACAAAATTGATTGCGATTTTCGAATAATAACAATTATTATAATGACACATTGTCTAATACTTTATGTGACTATTTTTTCGTCAGAAGACAGAAAGCTGTTTATAACTTCATAAGTTGATTGTTAATGTATGTGATTGTATCTATTTGTTGCTAATAATAAACTGGCCATTTTTATATTACCTATACGGCTATATCGGACACTGATTAGTGTTTACCAAGACCGAGTACCTACCTATTAAAATGACACTCACCCCAAACTTTTTGGTGGTTCAGAGAACCACAAAATGCATGATGAATCCGCCTCTGATGGTTATAAACGTGTAACATAAAATTGTAAATCCCAAGTCGATAAATTACACAAAAATTAGAAATTAAATTTTCAATCAAACTATTGTTTAATTCCTCAGGCTGTATATTATTCTCTGCTTAAAGTATTTACATAAATTAATAATATCTAGTGTTTTATATCTCATATTGAATTTAACAGAGTAAATAGTAATATGTAATTCCCCATACAATTTAAACCTTAGTTGCACATATATTAAATAATTATCAATAGTTATATAGTTCTTGAATTCAATAGTTATTGATGTTTGAATTTGAACTTAACATTTCTTAAAAAAAGAAAGGCATATAAATAAAATCATTGTTAAGAGTATTAAAATTAGATATCTGTGTGTTTCAGTTCCCGCAATACTTGGTATATGTATTTGGAAACACACTTTTTTCAGATAATTAGCTCCATATTGTTAAATACCTATTTATTTTTGTTTATATTGTGTTTGTAACTGGCATATTATTTATATTGTAGGAACTTACCTACATAATAAAAAAACTTTGAAATTTCATAACACGTTTAAATATATAATACAATGGCGTAGAGAACTAAAATTTTCCTGAGTCAAGTTACAAATATCCCAAGTATTAATGCATAGTAATGTAATAATATTTAATATAATATAACTAATTATATTTCAGATCGTTATTGATCACCTATTGAGTATATTATATTACATTGACTAGGGGACCCACCGGCTACCCACCAGTCCTCTATTTAAGAAAAATCTCAGAGGCAATTGCCACTGAAATTAACGTTCGTCATACCACTGATATAATACATAAATCATAGACTAATGCCCATTATCATTTGACATTTATCATTGATTATACATTTATTATAATCAATGGTATTATATACTGTATATACCTACTCAATACTGTACCTATTAGTAAATTATAATCTATAGGTACCTACCCAATTAATATGCTTGCACATTGTGACCATAAAACATTTTGCGACAAAGATGATAAAAATATAGCCTTATTAATTTATTTTTATTCCTTCATCGGTGAAATTATTAAAAACAATTAATATGAAGAATTTAATTTTCCATTATTCCAGTACCTACATAGTACATACATACCTAATACCTATATGAGTAAGTACCTACTATACATATTATGTTAGATAAAGTTATTTTTTTCTTTCACATTTCAGTTGTTAATTACATCATTTATATACATTTTTTACATATTATGTAACGAGACAGAATGGGCTATGTGATTTTTCTCGTAATAGCGTATGGACACGCTACCGACGCGCTACAAGCCGAATCCGCATGAACTATTTGTCATTATTCGTCCGACCGTGAGTGCCTATTACGCGCACTAGATGGCGGGCAACGCCGATACCATTTTGACATGCGCGTACCAGCAATAAATACCAGTATAAAATGTACTCATACCAGTAAAGTTACCATCGGATAATCAAATACACCCGAAAGGACACTGATCTCTAGAAGTACGTGTCCATACCAGAAAAACGTACCAACAAACAACAACAAAATAAGGACACACCACGTCGCAGAGCTATAACATGGAGGCAATGGTGATACCTAGTAAATAGACCCTGTGCAGCCGGCTACAAGATCATCTTCCGCGGTCTATTCGCTACCGGTACTGGTGTTTACCTACATAGTAAGCACAAACAGCCCGGTCCGAATAGGCAGTCCGCCGCTCACTTAGCCGTGTCTGGTATTTGCACAAACAAATACAAACAGCACGGACAAGTTCTGCTCCCGCCCGTCCATTTACTTATGTGTCTGGTGTTTACCTACAAAGGAAGCACAGACAGCACACATAAGTAAAACCATCGCCACCGCCGACTATCGAGTACGTAAGCTAAACCGCCGACCGAATATCGACACCGCCGTAATTTTGTTTCTTTTGTTAATTATTCGTGCCTGGTGTTTATTTGTAACATAAGCACCGACAGTCCGAATAATTAATACCGCCGACTATCGAGTACGTAAGCTAAATCGCCGACCGATAATCGACACCGCCGTTATTTTGTTTTTTAGTTAATTATTCGTGCCTGGTGTTTATTGGTAACATAAGCACAGACAGTCCGAATAATTAATACCGCCGACTATCGAGTACGTAAGCCAAACCGCCGACCGATAATCGACACCGCCGTTATTTTGTTTTTTTTAGTTAATTATTCGTGCCTGGTGTTTACCTATACAGGAAGCACAAACAGTCCGAATAATTAATATTGCCGTTGTATGTCTTGAGTGCCGAATCTAGAGCCGCTACCCGAAAATTCGCCGTTATCGTTTAATACGAATTTTATTACGAGATAATCGTGAATATCATTGCCGCCGCGTACCTACTTAGATATCATTGACACGGAGCATTTTGAACAGTTTTCGTACGCCGCCGTCGTAATCACCGCCGCCGTAAAAGGTTGATTAACCATCCACCCGCCGCCACCCGTATAGTGCGCGAACGACTATCTGCAATAATCGTCGCCGCCGTATATTTGAACATATACATTATCATTGCCGCCGTCCAAATATACGCCGTCGTCCATAACAATAATCTTGCCAGAGACGCGGATTATTCAGTATCACCAGACCTGTGTAGCTGCTAGACGTGCCGCAGTCAACTGTCCAGTGAATCTACCAGCCACCCACCAACTTCGTCGTCCGAGGATCATACTGCAGAACCGTGAGTCCAAAACGCAAAACCAATAATTTTATGTAATTACATCCTTGATACACGTATTTTTAAATGTACATTGCACTAAGCAATTTAATTGAAATATAAAAGAAAAAACTGTATAATTAAATATTCAAAATATTTCAATAAACGTTAATAAAATGAATGAACTACAAACTTGAGTCGCGTTCATTTATGTTTTATTACAATTATTTTAAGTTAATTAGGTATTATACATATTACATAAAGATTCAAAAAATACATCCTTTTGACACATAATTATCTATGTTAAAATGAAAATTTAACCTCCAGCTAGGTAATAACCAACATATTCCTATAATGTAGTAGTTTACCTATTTCTAAAAATGTAGGGTTAATTATTATGTTGTGTATTGTAGTTTGTAATGGAAGTAAACATTTAAAAGAGTTATTGTATAATTATATAAATGTAAAATATAATGAAAACATCTATAAAGTTTCCAGAAATGTAGCTGAAACTAGTTAACAAAGTGTCCACTAGATGACTCTAGTTCCAACATGAGTTATAATGTTATTTTTGTTAATTACCAAGCATCAAAGTTGAATTAACTCATTAGTCATTATTCATTTATACTGTCCATGTGTTTACTGTGTTTAATTAACTGGACTGGTGCCTCATGCTGATTATTCAAATGATAGTGAGTATATAATAAGAAACAACAAATTATATAGTTTAATACAATTATTTTTTTAATGTATTTTTATTTCACCAGATTCTTAAAAAAGACGTAAAGTTGCTGTTGCATAACGGACAACTTTGTCGCTCTAACTGCCATAAGCAATTAATACATAGAACTCTATGACCACAAGGTATTAATGCGTGGGTCCTTGGGCCATCTCTACAAACCACACAAATTTCATCTTCATTAACCTGAGGAAGATTTGCCATTATATTTTCTGGAATTGGAGCATACGGCGCTTCGTGTTCGTGTTCTTCTTCATTATCATAATTTTCCTCCCAGATGGCCAATTCTTCATCTTCGGGGATAATGAAGTCAGCTTCATTGTATTCTACAATTTCAGGAATTTCTGGTAATAAATTACAAATAAATTATGTAAATTATAAAATAAACATAGCTATTATATGGCAGTTAATACATACCTTCTATATTGATCACTTCTCCTGCATTATCCTCTAAAATTACTTCTGCATTATCCTCTAAAATTGCTTCTTCATTATCCTCCAAAATTGCTTCTGCATATTCGACAATCGGCATAACAATCGGTTCAACTTCTTCTTCAGATTCTATTTTAGCACAATATAAAAGGAAAAACAATATTTTATAAACGTAAGTACTCTTTTTGGTATGTTTTGTATGTAATTAGATTTATCTCAACCAATGTATTTGTACATTTAAAACAATAATTGTATATACTACAAGTAGTATATATATACCATTCCTGGCGCACCTCATAATATATCAGTAAAAGATCACAAAGAAAACAATGTGCAAAAGGATCAGAAAATTGAAATGCAATAATAATTAAAATATTTTTCGCAAAACTTAATTATTAAAATAAAAATCGAAATGCAATAATAATAAAAACATTTTTCACAAAACTTATTAAATGCAAAAACCCCCAAAATATTTTTCATAATACTTATGATATTAATAATTAAAATCGAAATGCAATAATAATTAAAATATTTTTTAATAGAATTGTTCTATTAAAAATAAAAATCGAAATGCAAAAAACTTATATATTTAAACGCTTGTCCAATTCGGACACACGTTAAATATCAAATATTTTTCTAATCCTTTTGATTTTGATTTCTAATCAATGTATTGAGATGGTTTACAAAATCATTTCTATCTATATTTGTTTTATAATGTCCCCAAGATAATGTATCAATACCATTTTCCAAAATAAATCTTTTATCATCATAAACACTTAAAGCTTTTTTGTTTTGTTCTACAGTAAAAATATCATGTTTGTTAGTTCTAAATAAATTTTGTTTAACATATTTTGATTCTTTTGTTAGTTAACATTTTTCAAAATCATTAAAACATATTTTATTTTCTACAACATTTTTTTTAACACCTTTAGCTTTTTTAATTTCTTTTTCAGTATCTAAGATTCGATGAGAATATAATTTAGATCTTAAACCTATAAATTCAGACATTATTTTTCCATTTAACTCATCTTTAAACTTGCCTAAAACTTTTTTGTTAACTAAAGGTAAACCATAAATATTATCTTTTGGATAATCTGAAGTGTCAAAATGATCTAACATAATTTTCATATCTTGATAAAAATCTTTAGTTTTTATTTTTAATATTAGTGAATCTGTATCTGTATATAACAATCTAACTCTATTTCCATATTTTTTCTTTATAATATTATAATAAAAATCATACATTAACATTTTAGATAAATCTAAAATACACATTCCTATATATATTGGTTGTTTGAAAGATATTTGTGTTCTTTTCATACGTACGGCAGCTAAATTTTCTGTAAAAATTGTCCTTCGATCAAAATTTGGTTTTGTAATTAATTTTTCTAGTTGGGCTGCATTAGAACATAATTTTATATCAACATGATTTCGAACATTCATCATAGTACATCATAGTACCATAAACACTGTTATATGTAAGCATAGTATGTAGTATATAGTTATATTAGAGTATAATATTTGTATATACCAGGAATCTGCTGATCCAGCGATTCCCACCCTGGCCGTTGTACAGAAGGGCCCCTTGGTCACTTCCGCCTCGGCAGTCTCGTAGACACAGGCATCCAGTTAGAACCTCTTTTCATTTTTATACAGAAAATCATTTTAATAAGTCAATAAACACATCTTTTAATCTTTTAAACAGCATCTTTGCATTATTTCTTTAAAACACGTCCCTAATCTCTAAACTAGGAATAACAGCGCGCCGGTACACATCATTTGGTGGCAGCGGGAGTCAACAATTTTATTATAAAATAAATTGTTGAAGAACCTACGTGTACTACCGCCTTTCCATATAGTTGGAGAAACGGACAATCGTCAGAGCATCAAATATCAAGAGACTCCAGAGCATCTTAGAACCAAAACGAAGAATTTACAGAGCATCAAGATTTTCAAGTACGTGTATTCATGTTATATACAATACGACGTAGGAACGTCGCAAACAAATTACAAAAACCCGCAAACGTCAGCACCAGCAACGGCAACGCCGAACGCCGCCGTCGCTGAACCCGTCACCACCACCGAGAGTCGCCCAACTACGAACGTAACCGGAGACCGTCGTGTCAACACGACGCATCAGCCACACCGATCGCGCACGGAGTGTCAAGGACGTCAGCGCCGCCGCATTCGTGATATATCGAAGACGCCGCCGTCGACGCAATAACTAGGTCACAGCTGTCGTCAACGCGTATCAATCAAAACAAACGGTTATCACCATCAACAATGTTATCATATATAGCCGCCTCGTTCTTGTAAGTTACCACAATTTTCTTTTTTTTAATAAATCGCAAAGCATAAACGCAGGATGATTTATTCGGTTGTGCAGTAATATAAAATTAGTAATAGTACGATTTAAGGGACGGGAAAAATAAATCGAAATCAATATAATAAAAGCGATCGTAATTAATTTTGTACTATTATAATTTTATATTATTAATACTTTAATTTTGGTGTACGCTTTTCTTTTTATTATTATTTTTTCTTTTTTTTTATTTGCTTTTATTTTTGTTATTTGCATGGAATCGGAAAGGTAATTGAGGAAATTAATTAATTAATTAATTAATTCTATATTGTTTGGTTATTTACTCGGGCTATTTATTTTATATCAATCGAAGTCTATGTCAGATATTTATCAAAACGAAACCAGTAGTTCTGAAAATCTTATAGATCTAGAAAGTAGTGTTAGTGTCCCTTCTACCGGGGAATTATACGAACCTTCTGGCGAATTCGACTCCGATGATAGTAGGTGCATCAATATATCTCAGTCGGAACATGTTTTAGATAGGACGAACAATTCTGTAGGTATCACTGACTCGGTTCTCGAAGACGCGAGAAACTTACTTAAATTAACTCTTAATCAAAATCAAGTAGTAAAAAAAACAATAATGTCAAAGTTTATGACGACACACCAAGCTTTAAACTTGATCCCTTTGTTCAATGGGGAAAATGCTGATGATAGTTTTGCATTTCATAATGCATGCGAATATGCGTTACAAAGCATCGACCCAGCAGAGAAAGAAAATCTAATTAGGGGTATAACAACTCGATTAATAGGCAAGGCCATACGTCCATTTAGACATAAAAAACCTACCACTTACAAGGAACTTAAGGAAACTTTAGACCTCACTGTTAACAAAAAACAAACGTTAACGCATTTACATTCGAAATTATCAACATTTAAGATAGCTTCGGGGGAGTCTATTCAGCAATATAGCGACAGGGCTGAGCAATTATATTACGACATTATAGAAGCATCTATGGCAACAAATGAAATTTCTAATACCGACGATTTATCCAAAATAACAGAAAGGCAAGTTTTATCAGCTTATACCGAAGGGTTACCACACGATACAAAGATTTTAGTAAAAGCTAGTAGACCGAATAACATGTTTGTTGATTTGTATTATTGTTTTTTGTCAATATATAATATATATAAATAAATTAATGTTTGTGTGTAGATTAGACCTCCGGGAAGAAGACAGGCTAATTTAAAAATGGTTAAATTTGGTTTTTTTTTATTCATCTGATATTAGTACGGTTAAGATTTTGTATTAACTAATTATATTAATCCACCATAAGTGGAATACAACAAACTTGGTATAACTTTGATAGTTAAGTTAAATCATACACTTACGTACAAACATCAAGGGGTCCGCGATCTACCGCAGGTAGATTGCCTACCTGATAATATACTGAATAATAATAATAATATTCAGAATTATTATTATTATTCCGGGCAACGGAATAGTTAAGATACATTTTGAACACCATACACTGAATATTAAATAACGAATTGAACAAAGTTTGAGTCATATAGATTTGGTACATTTTAACGGGTAACAAAGTACACGGGATCAGCTAGTAATTAAATAAAATAAATAATGCAAATATAATACCTATATATTTTAATAGGTAATAACAAAATGTTGCTATTTAGATACTTAAAAATCCCTCTCTGTATTTGTTTGATTGCAATGAACATAAAATATGAATGTGCATATAACAGATTAGTACCAATCATAAGTCAGATAACCTTATTACAAGTTAATATGAAAGGTAGTATAAGTATTTAGGTTATACCTTATACCCTCTTAGGATTCCATTATTTTAAAAATATGTAAGTAAATAAAGACATTTTATCAATTAATTATTTACCTAATTAGGTACCTACTTTTTTTATTATTTAGAAATATAGCATATTATACCCGAAATATTTTTAGCTATACCCTCTGAATATATGATATAAGCAAATTACTGGGTGTTCAAGTACCTAGCAATATATAAATTCCCCAGCATGAAAAAAATTTTCCAACGTAACGCCTCCCCCCCCCCCCAATCAATAATATCTGGCGCCGCCACTGAAATCTAGAATACTCAAACATGCATTGTAAAAGTCTGATTTACAATAGTTTGTAATTTGTTTATAATTATATGCATTTAGTTTATTGTCGATCAGCTAAAATTGTAATCACTAAATTTATTTATTTCAATTACCTACTAACTTTTGAGATTTTAAAAAAGTATAAAAATAAAATTATTTGACATTTAATAAAAAATATTGTATTAATCTGTGTTGAAACAAAAATGAATTAGGCCCCACATAACACAGGTACAACTAATGGATGTACCTACAATAGATGATTTATCTAATGTGTACCTACATCTATTAGATATGACTTTAAATATATTAGAAAGCCAATTGGTATTGTAATGGATATCAATAAGATATTAACTGTAATTATTATATTTATTAGATTATTATGTTATTGTTATTAGAATACAAATTGGAAAATTATGTGTATTAAACCAAATCTTTATTTGATATTCAATAAAATTATAGTAAAAATATGCAGTTTATAAAATATATATACAGTTTACAGGTACATCGTACATAATATATAATCACTCATTTCATAATCTTAAAAATTAAAAAATTATAATACAATAGATTGCAGTAAAATGCAATTTTATTTTAAAAGATGCCTATTTGTATGTCAATCTGTGAGGTACCTTTGGTTAATTTTTTATAATCTAAATTGATGATTTATGACCGTTTACATTTTATAATAGACATTACAAATGCATATTTGGAATAATTAACAATCAGACAATTTCCGAAATTGTAAGTTATTTCGTACATTTCCTAATGGCTCCTAGTCCTACCTATTTTCCCTATTATGAAACCGGGTTTCACTATGGAAGTATAAACTGTGGCCGTACGCTTTCGAGTGAGATTAATCATACCTACAGGCGGCTACATAAGAGAATGATAAGTGGGGTGGGATATCGTTAGGGAATTGCATGTAGATTTCATTTATTTATTCATTTGGTCAGTTTAATGAATATTCAATTAGGTACCTAGTTATTCAGATTCGTTCAAAAAATTCTAAAAATTTAAAATATCATAAGAAAATTTGCTTTATCAATAATCATGATTTGTTAAACTTTTATAATAAATGATTAAATGTAACCATGGTTATGTTTTTTGGAGGTTATCAATTATCAGCTATAAATTCCTATCATGGGGCTGAAATAATGTCGGCTAAATTACTGTCGGGCAAAATAGTTGTCGGCTCAAATACGGTTCTGACAAAATACGTGTCGGCTCAAATACTGTTCGGACAAAATACTTGTCGGCTGAAATACGGTTCGTCCAAAATATTTGTCTGATAAAATACGTGTCGGCTCAAATACTGTTCGGACAAAATACTTGTCTGCTGAAATACGGTTCTATCAAAATATTTGTCGGCTAAAATACGGTTCGTCCAAAATATTTGTCTGATAAAATACTGTCGGCCAAAATATTTGTCGGCTGAAATACGGTTCGGCTAAAAGATTTGTCTGATAAAATATTGTCAGCTACAATACGGCCGGTGATAATATTTGTCGGATAAAAAACTGTCGGCTAAAATACGGTTCTGCTAATATACTTGTCCAATCAATTATTTTTCGGCCAAAATACGGGTCGGCTGAAATATTTTCGGCTATTTTACTACTTTACTCACTTATACATCAACTAGATAGTTAACATTATATAATTATCTTGAAAAGGTATACGATACAGCTATGTAAACTAAAATATTAAAATAATAATTAACCAATCTTGTAAAACTAATTAAATTATTTATATAATTATCCACGTGACAATATGTCACACATGAAAAATCATATATAATAAACATAACAATATTGTAAACTTAATACATCTCATATTATATAACTATCATTAACAATTATATAATAACTGTCAATAACATTTATATAGTATTTAAATTATAATAAGAACTGTGAGGACACAGTGCAAAATTGAATTTGTGTGTAATTTGTAATATATAATATTTAGACTTAGAAAAAAACACAAGACAAATAATGAAAACGGACCATATTATGGAGTGTGGGTGGTCCGATATGCATATATGCGTACGCATTAGGTACATATATACATTATACACACTCCTTTTACATACACGCAGCACATGCAACACATACATAATATTCTACACCTCTCCGACCAGATGCTTAGTGGAGACAACACAATCAAATATCAACGGCGCCAGTAAACACCGTATATTATAAAATCATAAAAGCATTCTTTTGTATACATATATATATATATATACATATTATATACTTCAAGTCCCCTTCGATAATTCTCCAATCAAGACGTTCGGTCAAAACAAAACCATAAATTACCAGCAATACCTTTGTCGCACCGCACAAAATAATAAAATATATCAATACTTTAATATCACGTATTAATCGATGCACAAGAAGAAGGGATCAACCAAAATCATATTATATAAGGGGCACAGAGAATCGACTCGTCGCCAGTGTCTATTCCAGAGATACACATGGTCCACGACAGTATCTTTCAGAAGACTCATGCACAACGTCCACGCCAGTCAACATCATGATCTTTTTCCACTACTGTCCAAAGGAGTGCTCATCACTGTGCGTTTATGCGTATACAATATATGTATATTGAACCATTCCTTCCCCCGGTCTGCCTAAATTGGTTGTCTCTCTATCAGTTAAATTGAATTGTTCATCTTTTACACTCACCTATCCATTGATCTTTCAAAACATAAGGTTCTGTAACTATCATCATATTATAGTCCTGTTACATCACTACTGCACATTTATGTCTTAGAACACGAGTATAGTAATAAGTGCTCTCTTAACTTAAATTACATTCGGTCGGCGATTTGACTATATACGTACTCATTGTCACGAATGTAGGAATTGTAAGAGCTGTGTTCGAGATATAGATGTGTAATAACAAAATATTCATCACCTTAAATTACATTCGGTTGGCGATTAGACTATATGTACTCTTGTCACGAATGTAGGGACTTTGAGAGCATATGGTGACAGTCACAGATAGAAATTGTATACGAAATTCTGCAGATCACATAAATTAATATACATATATTGTCATCGTGATATCGACTGTCGAACACGACCCTGAAGAACTACAAACCACTTAAAAGAAAACCAGCTGCAGTGAGGTAAGTGTTTAATGTTTATATAATAAAAGTAGGTAATTCAAATATGATTAGGCAGTTAGGTACAACACAGTAGTTGGGAGATCTTATGCGGAAATCTCCAATATTTATTATAACAGACATATCTCTCCCCTATAACCATTACCTTCCCCTACCGCCTATTTTCCCCTTACAACTAAATAGTTCCCAGTTTATTTTCATAATAAAATATCAATAATATAAATATAAAATTCTGTTTTGTATCTATTATATATATAGGGGAACACGGGGTAAAACCTAATATTGCTTATCACGCATTATTTTATGGATGAAAATTATAATTTTTAGATTAATTATTTCATTCCTTATCACGAAATATGTTGTTATCACTGTAAACATCGACACCAACGTTTTGGTTTGAATTGTTAATTGATAACGAACATTTTAAATCCAATTATTATTATATTTACATATTTTGAATTTAAGATTTAGCAATGATAGAACTATACTACAATTATCATACTTGTCTAGTATGAATCTACAACTTGTAAAGACTGTTTTGCAATCACTAACTTATTTTTATCTAATAATATTGTATAAGAAATCAACAATTTCGTAAAAATTATGCTTTGGGGCAAAAGCGATGGGGCAAAAGCGATTGTTTGAAAAAAAAAAAAAAAAAATCTGTATAACAATATACATATGATTATATCAATTTATTTGCATATTTTGTAATAGTAAAATCAATATTTTGGTTTCAAAAATACACATCATAAGTCCTCAGATACTCATGAATATAATCGCATGATTAGAAAAACTAAATTTGGACATTTTAAATTAACCTTTTTGACCGGCATAATTTGATTTAGAAACACTGTGCGGCGCATTAAAAAATATGTTTTATTTAGACACTTAGATTCGACATAATTTCATATATTTTTGGACACTCCACAGGAGAGCAGTTTTAAATAATATAATATGTATATTTAGAAACTTTTATTAGATACCTAAGAACCTGAAAACTTTCAATCATCTTTTGCACGGGGGCAATAATTAAAAATTACCAGAGAGCACTTTTATATATTAAATGATTTTTTAGATCCTTAGATTAGATATCATATTACGTGTTTTTCCGACACTCAACTAGACGGCGCTTTTATAAATGTTTTATTTAGACAATTAGATTAAAAATCATTTCTTATATTTTTTGACACGCCACCAGATAGCAATTTTAAATGATATATGTTTTTTAGACACTTAGATTAGATATCTTTTTACATGATTTTCCGGCACTCAACTAGACGGCGCAGATAGGAGTATTTGTATGATATAACCGATTAAAATTATTTATTTAGTTTTTTTCCTGTTGTTTACAATTTTACTTTAAAAACACAAAATCTAACCCTAATCTATAGTTTAATCTAAATAAATATACAGATTTGCATTACACACAAAAAAAAGTTTTAATCAGACTCGTATTGTTTGTTATCATCTTTTTCTTCGTTGTCGTCATCGTCTTCATCATCATCTTCTTTATTGTTGTCATGTTCTTCATCATCACCTTCTTTGTCATATTCTTCTGCACTATCTTCGCTATGTTTTCAGTTGGTGGTACTGGTGGTGCGCTTGCGATCATCAGATTGACTGCCTCTTTTGAAAAAGGCTCAGTTTTCTTTTGTGGCCTTGGTCTGCAGTTACTTATATAAGGATCTAAACTTAGTAGCAGTCTTTGTAATATATCTCTGTAACAATCCACCCGCGAAAATTTTCTAGCAAAATGCAGCCTGTATTGCCGATAGTGCTTGTTGCGGGCCTCAGATGCCTCTTCCGATAGCTGGCCATTGGAAGAACTGCATGAGTTATAACTGCTGCTCCATGAATCAATACTTTGTTAATAGTTCGTGTCATGGGGTGCAAACCATACAGATCAATATATATTTTTGCAGTGTCGAGTGTATAGGTATCAAATTTAACAGCATCGATGCTATTGCCACTTGAAATCACTTCCAGTATCACCACATTAAATCTAGATTGACATCAGTTATTCTAGAAGAGCATTTTGGGTTAAAAAAAAATCTTCTTGACGTGTTGCCGTCATTGGTATTCCCAAATCCCGCTTTGGGAATATCTACCAAAATTCCCATTTCTTCATTGAAGTCTCTTTGCATTTTCTCCTTTGTATCATTTACAAGTTTTTTTCTTCGGAAGAGCGTGCTTGCCACTTTTTCAGTGGCATTCTATATGCCACATGTAGTAGGTAGCGATTCAAAAAAACGAATTGTAGAGTGAAGAATCGAGAGTCCAAACTTAAGTGACTCTAAATAGATTTTTGATTGGATTAATTTATTAAAATCTTTTGTAGTCTGTCCACCAATAAAGCATCTCGTGGCTGCATTGCACACTTTCCTGTCAACCATTGTAAGCATCATTTGTATGTTCCATTAAGAGTAGACACCTCTGTTTTAGTAAGGGACTTGATTCGGTTTTCAAAGTATCTTATTTCGTCTTTAGTTACATCTTTAGATTCAGCGATGAAACGTATACGCATAGGTCTCCAAAATCTAGTTGACGAAGGGACTGGGTTTTGCCATATAATTTTCTTTTGTTCTCCATCAATTATTACTACTAATCGAATGGGAACAAGTGAGCTTTGAAAAATATTTGCATCGTCATTGCTATTTTGAAATTTTCGCTTAAACTGTGTCTGTTGCGACCCGTCACAACCCCATTTTGATATCAAAACCATATTTTGTTTTTCTTCCTCTGAACACGTATTTACTACTTCTGTGACATATTTATAGAGACGCGATGCAGTATGGTCAAGTAGAGCTTGAAGTTCAACTTCAGAGCAGGTTTCGGTCACTATTGTCGATTCTTTGTCTGGGTAACATTCTTTTTTTGCGTCTTTTATTATGGAGTAGCAGGGGTATATGTTCTTGCTAGCACTTTGTATTACTTCCCACTGTTTTCTGGTGAAGTGGCCTTCTACAAAAATTGCTAGGGCCTCTTGTTGTGTAAATTTCTTGACCATTACTTTCTCTTGAGCAGAAGTAATAACTTTACGAATTTTTGTAGCTCTCGTTGGTGTGGTAGTTACGTATTTTATTAATTTTGCCGCATTATAATTTCCAGATGTGTGCTGACTTACACTATAGCCTCATACGCATATTTCCTCTACTGGTACCTGCTCGCGTAGATTCTTAGTTTTTCGACGTTTACTACAGTCACTAAGCTCTCTGAATAATTTAGGTGGTCGTACGGTTTTCAATGTCGTCGTTGGCTTTACAGACCAGTAAGGCAGTTCAATGGACCATGTGACCCAATGTTCATTGTTTTTAAGGAAACGATCATCTTTATAACTGGGGTCAGTCCATTTTTTTTTTATAATCACTTTTAAAGAATTTTAAAGACCGTCTTAAAATGCTTTTTTTCTTCTGGACATTTGGTTATTTCCATAAGGTTTTCTTCCAAGAACAAAAACTTTTCCTCTTGTCTCTTACCTTTTATATCTTTTAACATGTCACATAATTGTCATCAGGAAAATATCTTAAACGTTGCTTGAGAAGCTACAAACCAAATAACAAAAATACTTAAAATTAAGTTTATACAAGAATTTTTCAATAAAAAAATGTTATATTAAAAATAATAAAACCTAAGAAATCATTCTAAAAATAGTCTATACATTTGGAAATAATCTATACTTCTCTTTTACAAAAAAATAAAGCACGTAATACAGTTTCAAAAATGCCCGACTTTTAATTTTTAATAAATTACTGAATAATGTATTGTTAAACCATGTATTTTAAATATTTTTTGTTGTTTTTCATTTGTAACTCTAAGATTTTAATTTATTGACACAATTTTTATGTCAAAATACCTTCTACTGCGCAATATTTTAAATCAAAAATATATATGAACATTTCACCTTAAATCTATTTTTAGACATGAACATTTGTTTAGAAAAATATAAAAAAAAATACTGAAAATTTTAGTAAAAACATAATAGTTTTTTTGCAATGCTCAAAATTAAAATGGTGGATAAAGGCGGAAAATTTTACGACGGAATATAATTGATACTAGTCTAAATATAATGCCCTTATATGAAATATAATCCAACAATGCCATACTTATAAACAAAAACATTATTATCTAATAATTGCTGGTTGAAATTAACACCCATATATTTGACTTCATTAATATAGTTCGTAAAAGCATAATATAAGCAGTAAATCAATAAATTGTTGTTATAAATAAAGTACGTACCTTCCAGCTTCCTCTTCCATTTTAAAAATATTTTTGTACCAACTCAACCACGCAAAAGCAAAATGTTAAAATATCCTAATAATAAAAATAAAAATGACGAAAACCAATTATATGTGGTTTGGACAATTACTAGGTTTCGACTGATCGAGCTTGCAGTGGCAAGCGTTTAAGAAATTTTATTGATAACCTTTGATTTACCGGTTAGGTAGCTTTAATAATAGTAGTGCTAATGACATTTTTGATAAACTTGCTGATTATGACTTATAATCGGTTTTATAATACAAATACTCCTATGTGCGGCGTCCATAATCCGAAGCGTGGTGGAGTCCTCGAGCCGTGACCACGATGCTGCGATGTCTGGGAAGATTGCCCAGGCATTACAGCATTCTGCCAGGATGGCATCCCGGACACCAAGGAGGGGATTATTAGTAACTAGAGTATTGAGGTTATCAATCACACGTCCCTCGTCAAATCTTACCTGGACAAACAGTGAGTAACCACATTCGCATGAATAAATCACCAAATTTTTAATTTAAAATCCAATAATACAATTTTCAGTTTCGAAGAACTGTTCCTGCTGGAGCCATACGTAAAGTTTATGGCCGACGACTGGATGGCGAGAATAAAGGACAGCGACGTCTTCCAAGAATACCCCTCGGCGGTCATCGATATCCACTATGTCAACCAGCTCGGAGATAGGTTCGACCACCCGATGCTCCAGCAACTGGTAGACATCCTTCTCCAGGAGGTGAAGAATTCCGGGTACAACCGAGGCAACATCATAGAGTACGGGATAGTGGACGTCGCCAGGTCGAAGAAAATCAGCCATTTCCTCAACCACCACAAATGTCAAGAGAAGATTATTACAAAAATAAAAGCGAATGTATAATTATTGTTTTGTCTTAACCCTTTGTAGACCAACAATAAATGGTGATTTTTATAAAATTGATTTTTTTTTTTGCACCATTAAAATGTTTTATTTTTTTGATGAATTTTAAAATTTAAAATTAGAGTTTTTTTTATACTTTTTTGGAAATGGGGCAAAGAAGTCCTGAATGTGGTCCTATTATTATTTTTATATCCTTTTTTATTTCCAATGATGAAGTTATAATTGGTTAAAAAATTTGACTCAGAATAATTTTTCTAGAGAATTGTAGGACTTGGAATAAGGGGACCGTTTCAAACGGTCTACATCGTGAGAATTTCTGGCTTGAAAGGTTTTACGATTTTTCCCGGCTTGAACGGTCTAATTCAGGGGAACTTCTGGCTTCTCGGTCGATATCGGTCGCACGTTCAAGGCGTCGTCGGGCTTGAATTTCGATCGATAACCCGAAAACTGTGACTGGAAAATTTCAAAATATTTTTTTTCGTCCCGCGGTAGATACGACCGAGTAATCGGCGGGTCGCCATCGATCGTTAATCGTGTCCGCCGATCGACGTATCCTGGGAAGAAGGCCAATGACCGAGTGCCGTCAGCCGGATACAGGACCGCGACGACCGCGTAGTACATTTCCATGCGTAGCAGTATGGCACCAGCGGAATTGTAAATTTTACTTTCGTCTCTTTGGTGCTACAAGTTCCATATTTTAATACAAGACAAGTCAAAAGTAATCCAGAACTCTGTCTTGAGAAAAACGGCTTATTCCGTTATTTACAAAGTTATCGTCGTAAATATAGTGGTCAGAAAGTTACGAACTAGTGATTCGATATTCGTGTAGACTGGCGAAATTGAACGTATTACGTATTGTTAGTGAACTAGAAATAAAAAATAATCAACCTGGGTACGAACAATAATAGGCCGTGCCGCCCTGTTAGCAAAATACTCCGTGCGCCGTTACACCACTACTCCCCGACCAACCTATGCGCTATGTGTGTTTATGGTTTAGTACCCGAGCAAAGCCTGCGAGTTCTAGTTGTGACGTACATTACCCCGCCACCCCCCCCCCCCATTTCGACTTTCGAAATTTTTTTTGAGCCAATAATTAGTAGGGGAGACCGGGTACAATTGTATCATGGTACAATTGTTACACAAGTAGGTAATAAGTTGTTCATTAGCCAATACAAAAATCTCAAATAAATACAACAGTTGGTCAGCCTGTATTACAGTCGATGTTCCTGATCAAAATTATGATAACATGTTTACCGAACGAAAAAAAAAAATTAAATGTGTTTTTGATAACAAATACTAAATAAAATCATAAAATTACTTTTTTTCTTGAGAACAGGGTTTTATTTTATATTTCACCATTGTTAGTTTTATATATTCCAATAGTTGTGTAGTTTTTGTTTGTGCAGGTGAGAATACTCTAACTAATCAATATTTTTTTTAATAATTAAGAAATGCCTTTACAGAAAATGAATATGCTCCAGCAATTGTTACTGACATAGTCTTAAATTGTGAAATTAATAATAAGGAGATACCTAGTACTAGTTCTATAAATATAGAAATACCTGTAATAGAAACATTAGAAACACAGTCAATTTCCCTGGTGTCACCTGAAAATGTTAGACCATATCCAAAAGCTAAATTAAACTTAAAAATTACACAAAAAGGTGGAAGAAGAAAGGGGAAAGCAACCATACTGACGGACACACCAGAGAAAAATGAGATTACACAAAGAGCAGCTGAAAAAAACAAAAATATTAAACGTAAACTATTTCCTACAGAAGCTAAAAAAAGAAAAGGAAGTAAAAATGTAACAAAACAAAAAAAATGCAAATATACTACTTTTGCTTTCAACGAAGAAGAAGACAACACTTTTTGTATGATTTGCACAGAATTATATTCAAATAGTAAAAGTGTGGAAGCTTGGATCCAATGTTGTAGGTGCAAGTTTTGGTCACATGAAGCTTGTGCCAAAATTATGTTTACTGTTTATTATACATGTGACAATTGTGAAGCTGACGATGAAAAATAATATAAATCCCTTCTGTTTCGCCTATTTTATTTAATTATATTATATTATAAGTTTTTTTTTGAATTTTAAAAGTCAACAATTAAGTTCCTAAACAAAGGTTATATTTTATTTTATTTAATGATTATAGGTTATATTTTTATTTAAACTTCTAAGTAAAAAGTTATGTTAATTATGTAGTTATGTTATAACTTATAAGAGTTAAAAAAGTCAACAATTATGTTCCTGAACAAAGGTTATATTTTATTTTATTTTAGAATTGAAATTTATAATAAAAGAATGGAAACTATAAAAAATTTTAATAAGTTACAAGAAAATGAAATGCAAAACGAAATAGAAAAATCAATATTAAATAATGAAATCTTTGTTAAGTTCTGTAAATATGAATACTTTAATGTTAATAATAAAAAAAATATTAAAATCATGAAATGTATAATAAAAAGAATGGAAACTATAAAAAAAATTAATAAGATACAAGAAAATGAAATGCAAAACGAAATAGAAAAATCAATATTAAATAATGAAATTTTTGTTAAGTTCTGTAAATATGAATACTTTAATACTAATAATAAAAAAGGTGGGTAAGTGGATGTCGCTCTGCTGTACTGTAGGTTACAAGTGGGTCACTGTATAATGGATGGTATTAAATTTGAATTCAATGATACAATATCATTGTATAAGAAAAACGATTCTGAGCGAAGACGGTATGTCAGTCTAGGTTTAAGACAAATTATATACATATCTATGGTATTAAAAAAAAAATTGACCTATAATAAATTCCAAATTAATCATATCACATTATCACAATATCCATTAGGTACTTATAACACGTTATACATCAAGATCAATTACAAACCCTGATACTATCATTGATATATAATAGTACACTTTAGAAGTTTCAAGTAGGTACCCACGAATAATATTATATAATCACAACAAAATAACTAGGTTTTTTAATATGTAATTTCGTCCAAATTTGAATATAAAATGACTATAAAAATAAACTGTGATTGTATATTTTTTAGATTTTTCGGTAAGAGAATTAACTACTTACGTAGAATCTTGTTTTAAATTTTCAATCCTTAGCTATAAAAACTGAACATTTTAGAATTTATTAATTACAATGATTAATAATTTTCGAGATTTTGAAAAATTCTGTCAAAATTCGATCTTTAAATGCTTATAAAAAAAAACTGTGCCTATGTATTTTTAATATTTTTCAACTGCTATTGTAACAATATATCAGGAGCCTTGTATTAAATTTTTACACTTTTTGGCCCAACAGATAAAACTTTATTGATATTTGTAGAAAAAAAAACTAAAAAAAATTGAAAGCTGTAAATGTCCATAAACAGCTCAAAAAGAGTCAAAATATTTTCAAAATTGTATGGTGTATAGAAAATGCTAATTTAAACATTCAGTGAAATTTTCATGTATCTACAGTTGTTCGTTTTTGAATTGCAACAAAATAAGGAAATCGCTACATGAGTAATCGAGTGAAAATCCAATGTTGTAAAAATTTGAATTTCAAACGCTCATAAAAATTTAATTTGACTGTCCGGTAGAGATTTTTTTATTGATAAAGGTAGATAATCTTATAAGGAATCTTGTGTTTCATTTTCAAATCTTAGATTTAAAAAGAAAAATTTTTACGAATTCTTAACTCAAAATAATTTGCTAATTTTCGTGATTTTTCCATATTTTGTCAATTTTTGAACTTTAAATGCTTATAAAAAAAATTGTGACTAAGGATTTTTAATATTTTTCATCTGCCTTTGAAACAACATATTAGGAGCCTTCTATTAAATTTTCAAGCTTTCGCAACCAACAAATACAATTTTAATGATATTTTTAGAAAAAAAACTAAAAAAAAATGGAAAATGAAAATGTCCCTAAACAGTTCAAAATAAATCAAAATATTTTGAAAATTTTATCGTGTATAGAAAATGCAAATATAAACAACCAGTGAAAATTTCATGTATCTACGGTCATTTGTTTTAAAGTTACACCAAAAACCAAATTCGATTTTGTCAAAAACTGATTTTGCGTAAAAATTCCCGTTTTTCCTTAATTTTTATGTTGTTTTTCCCGGCGCTTGTGAAAACTATTGGGAATTTTAAATTTTGACCTCCCCAATGCACCAACGATATTCACTTTCCAATCGAACAAGATACTGAAGTCGAAAATCGAAGCATTATTTCGACTACTTATCGTGTACACAGACACAAAAAAAAAAAAATAAAAAAATAAAAAAATAAAAAAATAAAAAAAAAAAAAACACACATCATTGTAAAATCAATACATTCATCGTTTCACTCAGAATCTAAAAAATATTAAAATCATGAAATATAATCTAAATAAAATTCCAATTAAAGGAAATATTTTAATTGTCGATCATGGAAAACAATATTTCTGGAAATGGAAAGCCTTATGCTTCTAAAATACTAGAATCGCCAACATGGATTGAAATTTGTAAAATAGCTAATGATTTAATAAATACAACCGGTACTTATGGTTTCAAATATCTCCATGATATTTGTGTTGTTCAAGATTTAGGTAATATTAAAATATGTAGTCTTTGCATGGGAGGTACAGATTCCGATCGCAAAATGTTTAGAACATAACTATATTATTAATTTAATTTTTAATAGAATTGTTCTATTAAAAAATGTTCAATATTTAACGCGTGTCCCATTCGGACACTCGTTATTAAAATCCAAAAATCTTTGAAAACGATTTTACACTATGATACTAGGAGGGGGACTTATAAAAAATTAAAATCAAAAATGTTTAATGTAAAAATGAAGATTCTAACATAAATAGCAACGAAGTTATACTTAAATGAAAAATATGAAGCGGGGGGTAAACTTTTAATATGTAGTGTAGATAAGTATATAAAACATATCTGTGTTGTTCCGACTTGATAATATCAAATATTAAATGAAATATAGGACTTATACGACCGTATTATTTTTAATAATTTTGGTAGAAAAAACGGAAAAAAAATGCAAAAAATCTACAAAATCATTCCCAGCTTTACAGATACCCGTTCAGGGCCGGGCGAGTTGGGCCCATGCCCAGGGACTCACGATCGAGGGGCCTCGCGCCTTACATGTTTATGTGAATAAAAATGTTTGGGTATTCGTATTTTATGCTGCGTTATTGATTTTATAATACACAGATATTCACTGCTGTACAGAAATATGGCAACCGATTCCACGACGTTAATTATTATGGAATAGTTAGATAGAATAGTTAGACACAAATATGAATATTTACTTACAAATATTTTATAGCTATAAATTATTACTGTTCGAAGCAAGTCAACCAGGGGAGCACGATTATCATTTTAATTAAAAATCGTGGAAATACCAGTATAAGGCATTCAGTCATTATTTATAACTTATTTATAGATTGACAAAATTAATTTTATTTGATCGCTTTATTTTCATTTTTGACCATCATTTTATTATCTACACTACTGGTGAATGGTTGTCTTCTTCAGTCTTGTCGATTAATAGATATAAACGACACAATGTAAGTAATATACAATTTTATTTTTTTTGTTATTATTATCTTACAAAATAGTTGCTTTTTTAAAATTATGTACCCGCGTTAGGTTTGTTAATTCTTGGTTGTTTTACTTTATTACTTTACTTTACTTTAATATTAACATTATTATTTATTATTGAACGCCGCTAAATCTAAAACCTTTAAAATAGTTATTTCTATGGAGTGATGCCCGCAGCTCATGGGTGCTAGTGGTTGGGGTGCGACTTGAAATATAATAGCGGTAGTCATAGGTGTAACAAATTATTTAAATATACGAAAATATAAATCTTACTAGTCGCAGGTCGCAGTAGAAAATGGAAATTAAAATTAGCAACCGACAGGCGACAACGCTGTTCATTTTAAAAATAAATTACAAAATATAGTAGTAGGTATATAAATAATAATATGTTATTGTATGGACGACGCTGCCGGTCGTCCAAACCCGTATATAACATAACATCGCAACTTAAACAATAAACTCGCTTATTAGTTATTTACATGCGTATTCAGAATATTGTACGTTCGGGTAAGACGCTGTCGGTCGTCCAAACACTGCTCGTGTGTTCGGTATTTGAGAGAAACAAATTGCAATGTTAGCACACGACAAATTTAATAGAAAAAATATGTAGAGTAGGAAGTAACTAGTAGGTAATTTATAAATATATTAATTTATAAACTATTTTACATTTAAAAATTTTCAATATTTTTAAAAAATGTAAAATTAAGAATATTATACATTTAATTTCCAATCTGACAGTTTCAATCGTAACATGTAATGTTATTGCGGACGGAGGGGGCCAGGGAGAAGAAGTCGCGTATTGGTATAAAATAGGCGCAATTGAAACTGGGTTTACGAAATATAATATGCCGTGCTTTCGAGTTTCGTTAGTTATTGTACATCGTCATAATTTATCAAATTAATGTTTTGCCAGAATATTCACTCACAAGCCGTTACTAGTTACTTTTAATCAAATCCAAGTTTTAAATAACTGATAAATAAATACAATATAAATAAAAATAAATATTATTTTTTTATATTATTAAATCCAAAAGTACTACTGCTGGATAGTTTCTTTATTCACATTCCTCATGTTATTCATTACTTACTATATCATAATATGATAATATCATTAATTTATAAGCATATTGTAAACTTTATTAAAGATTCTATATTTCAAAGTATAAATAAAAAATATTATTAAATTATAAAACAATTTATTATGAAACAATTTTAAATTAAATTAAATCTACTTCTTGTTGCCACAAGCCAAACTAATAATTGTTAGATTAAAATAACGTATTTTTATACCGTACGTCCGTACGTGTTATGGTTAAATATGGTATAAGTGCGGACATATTTCAATAATAATAATAATATTAATTATGCATGCTTATAAAAATAAATACTAATAGTTACAAATTCTCGAAAGACTAACTAGACGTCAGATTGTCAGGGCAATGTTTGTTTTCTCTCTCAGACCCATGCACAATATAGATAAAACGCATTCATATAAACAGTTTTTAATTGTTTCTAAGTAATCTTAAAGTAAAATTACTTATAACAAAAATTAAAGAAGATAATATTGTTGAGGGTTTGACTTGGTTTTGTATTTTATTATTATTTTACTTTATATTCGACCTTTCAATTTTAAATGAATATTAAATTGTTTTGAGACAATACCTACTTAAAAAAATCGATATGTCATACCCTTAAAAATATTATAGTCTATAATTTTTGTAATGGATGGGTTTACTTAAGATTACTAAAAAAAAAATAATGGTTTTGTGTGAATGAGTTCTGTCAATGCTGTGCGTTGGCCAGAGAAAGAAAACGAACAGTGCGCTGATCTCCTCTTAAGAAGATTCATAGTTTAGGGATGCCAGATTTCAAAATAAAAAATACGGGACAAAACTATAAACATTTAAATTATGGTTGGGGGGGGGGGGGTTGAAACGTTGGACGTTGGGTACCTACCATCCCAGTATGTTACAGCCTGATAAGTTTTATACAGTTTATTTTATGAAAAAATGCTTTTTAAGAAACCATTTAAAAATATTGCTCAAAACATTTCACAATGTAAGAAAAAATAACTAGTTAAATAAAAATAATAAAATAATTTTCAACAATTAATAATATTCATTATTCAAACAATTAATTCTTATTATTTATTTAAATAAACATAAAAATGTTTGAATAGCATTATTTAATATATGCGCTGAACATCCAACACCTATTAAGTGGTGACCAAAATTATTTTTGAGTCTATAAAAAAGATTATTTTTTCCCCGCTTCAGAATAACACCACCGAAATCGGTATTAGTATTATCCGCAGATAGCGCAATAACTCTTTTATCAATTTTCCAAGTTTTTAATAATGTCCAAACATAATTTGTTAACTCTTCTGCTGTTTCACCAGGCAAATCGGTAAATTCAAGAATAATTGTTTTCAAGCCACTATCTGGAGAAAAATATCTGACTAATATAGGAATCATTTTTAAGTCTTTGTGATTTGAAGAATCGATCAAAATTGAAACAAAATTTGCATTACTCAAATAAGTTTTCAATTTTTCATAGGCGTATGGATATAAAACATTGACAATTATTGCTTTAGTTTTAGTACGACTACAACTGAACTTCTTGTCATACATTTTACGTATCAACTGTGAAGTACAGTCCATAGATATAAAACTATGGTTATGCTGGCGCCTGGCACACATGAAAAGCCCACGTTCCTTCATTTGCGTATGATAATTTATCACAGCCAAAATTTTTTTTTGTAAAATAATCAGTAACTGAATTACCTTTTTCAGATTCAACAGCAAGCTTATGGGGTTTTGTATTAATGTGCTGAGTAATGTCAGATTTTCCTCCATGTTCTATACTGAAAATTGCTACACATTTGATGCATTCAATTTTGTCGATTATTCCTGGCTTCACACATATTTTTAAAAACTCGTATTCTTTTTGTAAATTTTCATTAAATACGCATTTTCTTTTAACTTTAGGCATAGTTGCTATTGTTAGAGTTTATAATAAATAAATATTAGGGCATTATGCGAAGAACAGAAATGATAGGATAAAAATATTTATTTTTTTTTAAATAAATATCTATCAAATTCAAATGAAAAGTATGAATAACTGAAAACTAAATAACTGATAAGTGATAAGAAACGAGTATGCAGTAGTTCACAATCACGGACTAAGATATATCTTAGTCCGTATACAATCTTGACTTTGGATATTGATGTAGGAACCAGAATACCAGATTCCAAATTATTTACGGAACGGTAAGTGATAGGAACGCATAGACCGGAAACATTTATGTTAATATATTATCAGTCAATCAATGGTTAAAAATATTTTTGGCTTAACATTTGAAAACACATTTTGAATATAATATTATATACAAATATTAAACAATAATGTGTTCTATTTTTACGGGACATACGGGACGAGAATTTCATAATACGGGACATTTTTACGATATTGGATCTGTTACGGGGACACCGAGACACTGTCATGAATTACGGGACGTTCCCGTATAATACGGGACGTATGGCATCCCTATCATAGTTAATGTTATGCATATTATGTACCTACTTTTTTAAAATAGCCGTTAGGCGTTTATATTCAAACTAAATAAATAAATAAATAAAATGTTTGTATAACGTGTACATTTTAGATCATTTTTATTGATCAAAATGAGTGGAAGAGACCGTGACAAGTACCGGTCACACCCATCAGGACACCAAAAAAGCATAAAAAAAACTAGCCAAAGAAGAATTTTTGAATAAGCAACGAGGTGCTTTTCTGCACTTTTTAAGTACACCAAATGAAAAATTAGATAATTCGTCAAGTATTCCAGAAAAAACAGAAAAACTTGAACATCCATGCTATTCTTTATCAGAAACCATCGAAATATTGCCATCAACATCTAAAATAAAAAAACTACCACACGTATTAGAAGAAGAAAACCACTCATCAAAAGGTGAAAATAAAATACATTATCCAGTAGACGAACCAGTTGACGAAACTTTTAAAATTAACTCACTCTTGATATCCAAGAAATTGATTTGAGGGATCCAGCAAGCTGGACAGAAGGTTTATGTCAACATTTAAGAGATGAAATCATTAAAATCGGACCAGTTAGAGTAAATAATATTGACTATCCTTTACATACTATTCAAAACACTTCGAGAAAGTTTTCTGATAAATATTATTATAGAACTTTGTCAAATGGTGAAATCGTAAATAGACAGTGGTTGGTTTATTCAACGTCTAAAAATCTCGCATTTTGTTATTGTTGTAAATTATTTTCAAGTTCAGATCTACGTCAGAGTCAATTGGCTACTAATGGCACAAATGACTGGAAACACATGAGTGATAATTTGAAAGTTCACGAACGTTCAAAGCCACATATAATTGCTGCTCAAAAATGGATAGAATTAAAAACTAGAATTTCAAAATCTCAAACGGTTGATAAGGTACAGCAAATAGCTATAGAAAAAGAAAAGTCACATTGGAAGAATGTCATGATTCGTATAACTTCTGTTATACACTATTTAGCTAAACACAATGGTTCATTTAGAGGATCCATAGATGTTTTGTATGAAAAAAATAACGGAAAATTCCTTGGACTAATTGAAATGCTAGGTAAATTTGACCCAATTATCATCGAACATTTACAACGTATAAAAAATAAAGAAACACACATACACTATCTCGGACATGATATACAAAATGATTTAATCGAAGTCATGGCAAAGGAAGTTTAAAAAACAATCATACAAACAATAAAATTGGCCAAATATTACACAATAATAATGGATTGCACTCCGGATACAAGTCGTCAAGAACAATTATCAATTGTTATTAGAATTGTAGATATGGACATAGAAAATGAATCAATCAACAGAATCCCGAATAAAAGAATATTTTTTAGATTTTACAAATATTCATGATAGTACTGGTTTATATTTATCAGATATACTAGTCGAGAAGATAAAAATATATGGTATGAGTTTGAACGATTGCCGAGCACAAGGTTACGATAACGGCGCTCGCTAATATGATTGGACAATACAAAGGTGTCCAAGCACGAATAGTAAAACAAAATCCAAGAGCTTTTTTTATGCCTTGTTCAGCTCATAGGTTGAACCTTGTTCTTGGAGACACAGCAAAAAGTTCTGTTAGAGCAGTGCATTTCTTTGGTACTGTTGAAAGACTTTACACATTATTTTCGGCATCTACTGGAAGATGGGATATATTTTCTAAACATTGCCATAAGTGGACAGTAAAAAAATGGTCAGAAACAAGGTGGGAAAGCAGATATGACAGTATAAAAGCAATAAGGTTTCAAGTCAAAGAAATTATTGATGCCTTAGATGAAATATCAGATGAAACACGTGATCCACTAATTAGAAGTGAAACAAATTCATTAATTGCTGAGATACGTTCGTTGGAATTTCTTATGAGTTTATGTATTTGGTACACTGTCTTATGTGAAGTTAATATAGTATAGTAAGTTTACAAGGTCCAGATGTAAATTTGGATATTTCTTCAGAATTACTAAATGGACTTATAAAGTTTTTAACAAATTATAGAGAAATAGGATTCAATACTGCTAATTCGGAAGCCAAAATACTTACCATGAATTTCAAAGTATCAAACAAATTTAAAACACCTAGATATAGAAAGAAAAAAACAATGTTATATGAAGGCAATAATGAGTTATTACAAGATCCCGAAGAGGATTTTAGATGCTCTTATTTTTTAGTTTTAATGGATGGTGCTATTGGATTAATCACTCGACGGTTTGAACAACCTTCGAAATTTAACGAAATGTTTGGTTTTTATTTAGAATTGGAAAACTTGGTTGTCTTGGTTGAAAGCAAATTGTATGGACTTAGCATTATATCTACAATCAGGAGATGAAAAAGATATTTGTGCCTATGATTTAATTCAAGAACTTTTGATTTGCCAAAACATTATCGATAAATCGGTAACTCCTATTGAAGTTCTTAATTTTATAAAAAAAAAGCAATGGAGCCTTTCCAAACTTAGCCGTGGCTCTTAGGATAATGTTAACAATTCCTAAACTTCAGCTAGAGCGGAACGTAGCTTCTCAAAGTTAAAGCTTATAAAAACGTTTTTGAGAAGTACTATGTCCCAAGAGCGTCTTTCTGGCTTAGCTTTATTAGCTATAGAAAAAGAAGAGTCCGAAAATTTAAATTATGATAAAGTAATTGAAGATTTTGAGGCTAAAAAGTCTAGAAAAATTAAGTTTAAATAATTTTTTAAGATTTTATGTAATAATTATTTTATATAAGTAATAATTAAAAACAAACTAATTTTAACACGTATTGACTTATTATTTTTGTATTTTAGTTTGTTTAATTTTTACGATTAAAATATTTTTCTTTTAAATACCTACCTAAATAATTATTAAGTTGGTAAAACTCAGGGTCAAAGGAAAACTCAACTTTATTATAACAATAAATACTTTTCTTAATAAATTATTAAGATATTAAATATAGGTAGATATAGGATATTAGAAATGATATTAATATTATTATAGGTGTATAATGTATAAATAATCATTAACTGTATATTCAAGTAAATAATTATGAAAATTAGGTTATTTCTCCTTTGGTGGAGAGTGGGGGTGTTAAATATTCCATATATTGAAGGCCCTCGGAATGTATTCCACCCAGGGCCTCGCAAAACCTAACGCCGGCCCTGTACCCGTTAGGAAAAAAGGAGGCGGGAACTCTTTTACAGACATCTGCAAAGCTATCGTGGGCAGTGAAGTTACCCAAGTGCTTTATTCGGCAGGTCAACGACAGTTTTTCAGTAGATTGCATAGGTGTAGGCACCCACCTATACAATCTACCGTAAACGTCTTCAAAGCCTGATGAAATTAGTAGGTGAATATGGGCGCCACACATTCTCCCACTAGTTTCAATCCGACCAAGAACACATTTAAATCAAACGCGTTAAACCACTGAGCTACAACACTTGGGCATGTATAATGATTATTTAAACACTATTTAATTAATTCGATAAAAAAACATCATAATATTAACTATACATATTATATAATATATATTATGATAAGATATTCAATACCGGATGTTTAAAAAATAATCAGTCTAGCTACATATTATTATTATTATTATTATGTAATTCATCTTTTATTAATTTACGTAGTTCGTTTAGTGAAATTTTTAATTCATTATAATTTTGGTTTTTAATAAAACTTAAAATATTTTCGAAACAACAATTATTAATTAAATGGAAGTTAAATGATTTTAATTGATTTTGTTTTTTGTAATAAACATATTTTGCAACATTTTCGTAACAAAAATTATCCATTATTTGATTCCATAACTTATTATTAATGTCACAGTCAATATCAATATCAATATCACTATCATTAAACATAGGTCTTAGAATTTTACGTTGTTGTTCAATCAAATTTAAAAGTGTTCTCATATTTTCCATTTCCGTTATTTATATTAGAAAATATTTTTTTTAACATCGAATTATTAAAACAACGAGTTGTTAAAAAACAACGTTAACGTAAAAAAAAAAAACAACGACTCGTTAACTCGTTGACTCGTTTACTCGTTAACTCGTTGTTGAATATATATTAAACGAGTTTTTATTTTTAATAGAAATATTACTATTAAAAAAATATGATATTTAAATAAATTTTTTATAATTTTCAATAAATTCTAAACATAAATGACCACATATACAAAAAAGATTATATTTACCCAAATATTTTAAAAGTTCTTTTGGTGGCTCACCAACTATATGACCAAATGGGTTAAAATATATTTTAAATGTATTGTTTATTTTTTTCCATGCAACCCAATGAGAACCATTTTGAGTAGAATCATTTAAATTAAATACTCATTCATACACATTCATTTTCCCATGGTGTTGTAGGTAATTCATTTAACATAAAACACCCTCTATAATTTTTTATTTTATTTCCAAAATAA